CTTTAAAAAAAATGTCAGCCGGGCTCCGTGGCTCAGCCTGGCTCCATGGCTCAGCCTGGCTCCGTGGCTCAGCCTGTAATCCCAGCACTTTGGGAGGCCGAGGCAAGAGGATTGCCTGAGCCCGCGGGTTTGAGACCAGCCCGGACAACTAGGCAAGACCTCGTCGCTACAATAAAATAAAAATTAGCCGGGCATGGTAGCGCACACCTGTTGTTCCGGCTCCTTGGAAGGCTGAGGTGGAAGGATCGCCTGAGCCCAGCAGGCTGATGCTGGGGTAGCCATGAGCGTGTCACTGTACTCTAGCCTGGGCGACGGAGTGAGACTCCAACTCAAAAAAAAAAGAAATTTTGACTCACGGAAACACTTAGGGTACAAACCCCACAATTGTGATTCAGAGACAGTGTGGTTCTAAGGTAAGCAAAACATGAAACGTGAAATTGGAGTGATTTGAATGGCTCACCTGAAAGATGTTGGGTATGTGGGTGTGGTAATATTCATGCTGCTCATGGTTGAATTTCTGGAGACTTGATGAGTAATCTGCTTTGCTGTCCTCTGCCATTTGGTGACGTATCTGAGCTTGTTGTCGGGCCTTAGGGCAAAAATGAGAACATCCCTGTGTTTATATATTTATATATCATAAGTAAAAGCCTGGAACTACATACGAGAACACCTAGGGGTCAAACTCACCTCACATATATTGCAGTGAGCAGGGGCTATGCTTAAAAAAATATTTGGAGTTTGAATTTACCTTAGATAGGGCATGTACATCCTAGTTTGTCTCAAACCCCACCATTCCCTATTGTCTTGGGGTCAGGCACAAGCACCACCATGCCTGCTGTCTGCAGCTGGGCCAATTCACGTATTTATGTTACCCAGATGGCACTGGTCGGAACCTCTGCTCACACATACATACATACAACACACACACACACACACAAAATGTTTTTTTTAGAAGGAGGGGAAACCCACAAACTTTTAAATCCAATTCTCAATGGGGTATGAATTAAAACGTCATATGAACCACCAATCTGGAATTTTCCAAGGTGTTTAGTTTTAGAATTTAGTATTTTTGGTATTTTGGTTTAAAGAAGCAGTGAAGATGGCACCCTGTTTGTGCTTTTTATGTCTTTAGGGGGTGTTATTTTGTGTCTCACTGCACTGCTTTTCTCCTTTAAAAAAAATCAATAATTTATGGCCAAGCATGGTGGTTCATGCCAGTAATCCCAACACTTTGAGAAGCCAAGGCAGGAGGATTGCTTGAGGCCAGGAGTGTGAGAAAGCCTGGACAACATAATGAAACTCTGTCTCTACAAAAAATAAATTTATTTTTAAATGTTCTTAAAAAATTACCAAAAAAGGGTGGGCAATTGTGGACAAGTCAATTTTAAGCCTCCAACACAAATGCCTGTAAACTCTAAAGTCATTCACGCACGCAAGAGAGTGTTAATACCACCTCAGATCCTTATAGCACTCTTAGTAGTGCTCTGATAAATATGATCCCATGAATCCCTAACACAACCTGAGACCCACACAGGACAATAAACCACCCCCTGCCAGGTGCAGACATGGCTTGGTCCTTAGGTGACTTGGCAAACCCACTGCACCGAGCCAAGAGCACAACAGGAGAATGGCCGTCTTCCAGCACACATGGGGACCCAAAAAACCCTGGAATTTATTTGTAAAAAATTGTGTATTGATTCTTACATGTTTAAACTTCAGTCACCTTCATACTCTCCGTTTGATGCAACATATCTATCAAGACGCTTTTTCCACTGCTCAAGACAGTTTTGAACTCATCAGTTTTGAGGTCTTTTAGTGCTTCTGCCGTTTTTTTGGCTCACCTCTTGCACATTGGTAACATAGTTTTCCTTTGAAGACTTTTTTCATCAAGTGAATGGGAAGAATGGGGTGCAGGGATCACGCCGTTTTTGGCCAAAAACTGCTGACCCACCTCAGTGTGGTGTGGGCAGGTGCACTCGTAATCACCCATCATGAAACGGGCCAACACACTGAAAGAATCTTCACAAAAAATTCCCTGAAGCCGAACGCAGCCTCTCACAACAACTCTAGCTGGTCCACTGATGCTGATGGGTTTCTAAGACACTCACGTAGCAGGGGAAGCCTGTACAAGGAAGGGCCCGCCCTCAAACGATAATTCTGGGTTTTTTGGGTACCCCCCTTAACCATGGCAACTTTTGTTTGCTTGCTTGTTTTTGTTTGATTTTACTGAGCTAATGTTATAGAAAATGAGGACCTAAGAGTGGGGGGGGGAAGCACATCGAAATGTTCAAATGTCAACATAAAGAAATGCTGAAGTCGCCTGTTCCACTTTCTGTCTGATGGTAACACCTAGCATTGGCTTTTTTTCATCTTCTTTATCGGTTTCCTGCCTACATGACTTGCAGACTTGACCGATTTTCACTTCTCACATCTTACTCATATACATACGGGTGAAAGCCCAAGACGGCGATTCACATTTGCTTCCTTTATTTTCTTCCCTATTCCTGCGTGAACACTTCCCAAATGAAGGTAACAATATCAATATTTCAGACTAATTTCCTCATTATGAAGGGTTTTTTCCCCACTTCTTAAGGCCTTCAGGTATCTCAAAACCATCTTATCTGCTTCTCATTGACCCTTGGTTTCTCTCAGCTGCAGTGTTCTTCCTGTGTTGGTGGCCTGCTAATGCCCTTCCTGACCATATGCATTGGTGTTCGCTTCTTACTGTATCTACTAGCAAATGCATGAATCTAGTCCCCAAAATATTAAATTCCCGGCTACTTGCAGAAACCCAACCCCTTGCAACGGACCGTAGCCCTCCTCTGTTTAAATAACAGCCTTCCCGCCTGCGTGCATTCCATCTGTTCCACGAACTTGTCCAGCACAAAAACCCCATTAACTCCTCAACTGCTGACAGTTTCATCACTGATCACTTAGTTATGAACATCTTTAAGAAGAAGAAATTCTCGTGCAGACCTCAAATTTCTAAAACATTCTCTATTGCACTCATAAATGTTCCTTAGAAAGGCTTGCAAAAATCCAAAGGGGGATTTCTTGATTTCTTCTGTAAAGAACACTCATAAGTGGCTGGGCTTGGTGGCTCAGCCTGTAATCCCAGTACTTTGAGAGGCAGAGGCGAGTGGATTGCCTGAGCCCGCAGGTTCGAGACCTGCCCGGGCAACTTGGCAAGATCTTGTCTCTACAATAAATCAAAAAATTAACCAGGCGTGGTAGCGCATGCCTGTAGTTCTGGCTACTTGAAAGGCTGAGGCGGAAGGATCACCGGAGCCCAGCAGGTCGAGGCTGCGGTAGCCGGGAATATGCTGCTGCACTCCAGCCTGGGCAACAGAGTGAGACCCCAACTCAAAAACAAAAATAACACTCATAAGTAACAAGATAGAGGACCAGGCATGATGGCTCATGCCTGTAATCCCAGTACTTTGGGAGGCCGAGGTAGGAGGATCACTTATGCCCAGAATTTCAAGACCGGCCTTGGCAATATAATGAAACTTCATCTCTACAAGAAACCCAAAAAATTAGCTGGGTGTGATCATGCATGCATATAGTCCCAGCTACTTGGGAGGTTGAAGCGAGAGGACTGCCTGAGCCCAGGAGGTTGAAGCTGCAGCGAGCCATGAACGTGCCACTGCACTCCAGCCTGGGTGACAGTGTGAGACATCAACTCAGAGAGAGAGAGAGAGAGAGACAGAGAGAGAGAGAGAGAGAGAGAGAGACAGAGAGAGACAGAGAGATCTTTTATTTATTGGAGATTCTGTCTTACTGAATTTTTAAATGTAGCTTAAGCTCTGAAACAGAAAGCAGAATGTCATCATTAAATGAAATATGAAAGTCTGTATGTGTACGTACACACACACACACACACACACACACACACACACACTCTCTCTCTCACTCTACACGAGCAGATCAAAGCTTCCTGACAATAAATCCACATCAACCATGAACTAGTTCACTTGTGAGAGCTGGTGCTGGAGTTACCCCAGCACCATTTGCTTGGAAATGGTTGTGACCCTCTTCTCCCCAACCCCCAGAATACCTAATGATGTATAGCTCTAGCTATATAATTGCTTTTGTAAGCATACTAACACCTAATAGTTTTTTTTTGTTGCTGTTGTTTTAGTTGGGACTGCAGGCACATGTCACTATGCCTGGCTGATTTTTTTATTTTTTGTAGAGACGAAGTCTCCCTATTGTTGCCAAGCTGGTCTCAAACTCCTGGACTCTAGCAATCCTCTTGCCTCAGCCTCTCAAAAGTGCTGGGATTACAGGCATGAACCACCACGCCCAGCCTCATATTAACTCCTAATAGTTTCTTGATGCCCTTTACCCAGTTTATATGCAATAAACCTGTACATAACTAGGGACCACTAGATGTGAACTGTGGAAGAAGCTGAACAAGAAATGACATGCCGTCAGGCATGGTGGCTCACACTTGTAATCCCTCCACTTTGGGAGGTGGAGGCGAGAGGATTGTCTGAGTCCACGAGTTCGAGACCAGCCTGTGCAACTTGGCAAGACCTCATCTTTACAATAAATCAAAAATTAGCCGGGCTTGGTGGCACATGCCTGTAGTTCCAGGTACTTAGAAGGCTGAAGTGAAAGGATCACCTGAGCCCAGCAGGTCGAGGCTGCAGTGGCTGTGCCACTGCACTCCAGCCTGGGCAACAGAGTAAGAGACCAACTAAAAAAAAAAGAAATTACAGGTCTAAAATCCAGCCTGGAAACACAGCCAAGTAGAAGAAAATAAACCAGACAAACATACTTTAGACAGAAGGTGTGTCCCTTTCACATTAAAGCAGCATTGTCTTTCTGGGAGTTTTTCTTGGACAGAAGATTGCAAAAGACTACCTATTTCTACAATCTCCCTCTCACTCACTAGAAGGAGGAAAACACTTAGAGGCAGGAAAAGACTGTGGTACACCAAATTCTGCGAAGCCAGCAGAAAGACAGGACTGTCTTTTTCCCAGTCCCTGTAACCAGCTGCTTGGAATTAACATCTACTTTTGACTCTGGCCTAGGAATGCACCATTGTTCTAACCAAGTTTCACTACGGAAAATCTATTTCTGGTTGTACACTGCTATGTTTATTTCACAATGGAATTTAAGAGGCTTTCCCAAAAACTAGTGTTTGAGTTAATTACTCATTATTACAAAAGTATTTTTTGAAATATCTTTAAAAGTATTTCCAAAAACTTATCTGGAGTAATGGTTAAGTAACTATATATTTTACAAAACCGTATCTCCTGATATCTAGGGCTAAATGAAAATTATGTAAGTCTCACCATTTCCCATCTCTTTTTAAGTCAGTCTAAAAATAGAAACTATTATCTTGTACAATGTACACAGGTGGGGGTGGTGGATAAACTTAAAGCCTAGACCAAAAACTATGTGTACCCCTTCAATACTGAAAGAAAGAAAGAAAGAAAAAAAAGCAATAGATAAATAACTGAAATAAAAATATAGCAACTATTATCTCAAGCGGGTACAGTATTTCCATTCTAAACCAGACCGTAAGCTATGCCTTTCGATTCCATTAAATTTCCCATTCTAAGAATAAAAGACACTGCA